GATAATTAGGAAATATTTTCAAGGCAGTAAAACAATACCTATTTTATCTTTTTCTTTGCTGTCACGCTAGTATCTAACGATATCAGATAACATTCAGATTGATGGGAATAAATTTTAAAAAATCCTTGTAGTAAACTTAATGCCTCGAGTTTGCCATTTTAAACACAGTACCTCACACGTCTGCAAACCTCTGCTATACTGGTAGCATGGTATCTGAAAACTAATAGCCTCTGTTGTTATATGTTGTTTAATTAATCCATGATCTGTCACATTTCATTATTGGACATATCCACTGTCTGGTCATTTCTGTGTAGTTCACTCTGTATCTCAAGGGATCTCAAACGCTTTGGTTGGTGTAAAAGGTGCTTTTTGTCCTGGCCTCTTGCCCAAGCACGTGCTGCATGGCAGGTAACGAATCGCAACCTAATGAGCCATGGTAACTGAGCTTTCCTGGGGAGCCAGTTGCTGGTTCAGTGACCTGTATTACCCAGTATCTCGTTTGGCAGAGAATTAAGAGTGGAGCAGACACATCATCAGCAGATTTTCCTGAGTGCAGACTCATTTTGGTACAAGCTGTCAAAGTCCAAGGACCCTCCAATCTAGCTTTCTAAACCTCATCTGTCAGTGGAGTATAATTGGTTTATAAATTGGCTTAAAGATAATAATGGAACTAACCTTTTTACACAAAAAGCATGTCTGCAACTATGATAAACTTGTCCAAAGCTTAAAAATAATAGTCCTGAATAATGTATCAGTGAAACATCCTAGTGGGTGATTGGTGGTGGGAGGTTAGTGCAGGCTGGTGTTGCAAAACAGTCAGCCATCACAGTAACTCACATAACTGATGTTAGAACCACTTGTGTGGAAGTTGTTTTGTTGTGGTTTTTAGTTGTTTTTTAACTGCTTTGTCTCACTACAAGAATGCTGATACGGTGTTTGACTTCCGCTGCATCAGCTTGCAGCAGGTAACAGCTCTCCACCGGACCACAGTCAATCCAAAAAGCTGCAGTGCCTGAACATCAAGTAACCTCCAAGAATTAAGGGTTCTTTGTACAAAATGTTGTTCATTCAGTTTTGTTTAATTGGTTGTGTTTCTTCGTGTCTGCAAATGCTGTCCTGTTGGGTAGATTGTTCCCTGGCTGTGTGCAGAGAGGCTTCTTTATTATCATTTACTTTGTTTTAACATGCTAAAGCTATCCACGCGTAGATGTGCACAGAGACATCTGAACAGAATATAGACATCTCTGTGCTTTAACACAGGGATTCGCATATCCTCATTGCAAGTCATTCTGGCACATCCAGAATGTTGAATTGTTGAACTGCACACCATGTGAGAGTACCAAAAAATTCTGTTCATGGCTTTCCTAGTCAAGTTAGCTGTGATGTTTAATTTGTCCTTCCTTCTCTGCTTCTCACAATTATTGGAAGTTCAGTATGTACACAAGAAAAATAGATTAGCAGAATTTGAGGACTTTTGCTCTTACGGTATACTTACTAGTTAACTTAAATGACAGTTGAGTGCAGATGTGCCAGCCAGTCCAAGGGACAGTAGGTTTGCATAGGCCATTTATAATAAAGATTCCAATTGCCAGATAAACCTAGTACAATTTTAGGCTTAAAATAAATTTGAGGAGCTGTATATCTCTGTTTGCTGTATGTTAAATGTGTACAACATGAATATACTTCATGTATAAAATATACTAAGAAATCTTTCTTGGATTAGGATGGCTTCCTTTCTTCAGTAGCTTGTATTCTGTACTTTTAAGTAATTGCCTTGTCACTGTAAAGTAGTGGTTTCTCTTAACAAAGTTAATGTTTTTGAGATTATAAGGGTACTAGGAAATGTTTGAAGACTTGCATTTAGATCCTCTTTCTTTGTCAAATTGCCTGTTCAAAAAAAGGGGGAAAAACCTGTTTGTACCCTATTATTAAAGTTTATTCCTAGCATGATGGGAATCAGCTCATATCAAACAAGACAAGGATATCACCATTTTTTAAAGTGAAGACCAGTAAGGTCACTCCACTTAGTTCACTGTCTCTAGTCAGCTCAAAAATATCCTCATGTTTTGTCTTAGCACACTAGTAATAGTCTATGTATGTATGACTGTATTATACAGTGCTTGTAGGTTAAGTGGTTTGGAGGTGGATGCAAAATACCACCACGCTGTAGTCATAGTAGAATAAAATATGAAGCCAGACAATAGAATAGAAAATGCAATCTATCTATAAACATTTTTTTTAATTAAGACTATTTGAACACCTACTTATTTGTAAAACAAGATTTATACTATTTAGCAGGGCACTTCCAGCAGTAGTTTAATTTCCCTCCAGCCAGAGCTGTCCCAGTGCTATCTGCAGCTTCTGCAGCACGCATGAGAGAGCTGGAGCTGAAGTACTTCCCATCTCTGGCAAAACTGATGGCACCGGCTAGGAGATAAGAGTGGTCCAGAGTCGTTTTGCTGGGCTCTGTCCGAAGCACTGCCCTTGTTCCAAGAGACAGCCCAAAGCTGCAGATTTGCCATCCAGCCTCATTATTTGTTTTGCGGTGGAGCTTTTTGTTGTCCTCAGTCTCTAATGAAATAGATAAGATGAATAAAAACCAAAACAGATAGAGAACACAGAGCTCTGGGTGGGAGGAGGAGAAGGAAAATAGTCATGTTTTTTCTCAATGAGAGAAAAAGAAAAAAAGTAGAGGGGAGGGAAGAAAGGGCTGTAATGGATTTGCTCCGTGCCCAGAAATACTCAGGATTTACAACCACAGCAATATTTTCAGTTAGGGCAGTAGTGTTATGCATTTGCTGTATTAAATTTCTGCAGACAAATGGATATGTGTTTTTGGTGTTTTCATTTCTGATCAGTTTAATCCTTGCATCTCTTCCTTAGTTTGGTAAAGGTCGCTAAAGAATCTCTGTGAGTGGAGTCTGTGGGTTTGGACTGAGATGAACAGTACCAGCACAGCTGTAGAGGGAAGCTGTATTGCAAACAGCAGGCACCTCATCTTCAGTTGATTCAGAGCACCCGGGATATGGTTGTGTTTTGTCTCACAGCAACAGAGTTTTGACCTTCATTTATATCAAAAGAGGATGAGGCTTCAAATAGTTTGACCGGGGTCAGACGTTACATGTGGCTTTGCAGTCATGGTGATGAAAATAGAAGACTTGTAGTAATACTCAGCTAAGAAATCATGGGAGAGATCTCAAAAGAACATCTAGTGTCCCCAGAAAGAATATTAAAAACTGTTAGAACAGTTAGAGCTGACTGCAAAGTGCGGAAGCTGAACTGGGAGTTACACACAGAAATTCTGTATTCCCACAACTACAAAATAAACAGGAAACCAACTGTGATTCGCTAATACTTCCAGTTTGATATTAGTAATATCAGTTCAATAGATTGCAGTGATTTCAATTTATCATGCAATAGATTAGACCCCTATTGTGAGATAGCTGTGAAACACAGATGAATCTAGAGAAGTGAAAATTGCAATACAATCAATGTTTAAAAAGATAAATTCTTGTAAAGTATAATTACGTTGAACATAGTTGTCAAAGAACAACTGGTTATAGTTGTATTCATTCTTACTGAAGGAAAAATCTAAATTCCTTTTTAAAGGAGGGATAACACAAAAATAGCACATTTTGAACAGGAAGACTGCACATGATGAGCATCATGCACTTGGGCACTGTTGGCTTTTGGGAGGAAACAGCAACCGAGAGTTTGTCCAGCATATTGTGCCGCACACCTCTGTCTTGTGGTCTTGCTTGGGCAAGGAAAGTGCTTCTTCAGCTGCATGCAACAGGCTAAAAAGTTCCATCTCTCAGTAATCTGGTGGGGAAAAGGAGGCTGCGTGTTAACTAACTTACACGCTGAGCTGACCCCCAGTCAGTGTTAATGGGAGCATAAAGGTGCATCAGTTTCTGTGTGGGCGATGTGCAAGACGGAGCAGCCACTTGCTCTGCAGTTTGTTTCTGACCTTTGTATCAGAGCCATATAAGACAACTTAATTTTATTTAAGCACTCCCATAAGATGATTTGATTTCAGCCTTTGAAGCCTCAGTACTTTCACCAAAAAGTGCTAATGTAATTATGATATGACATTCATGTTCACAAGACACTAGAGCTGCGTGTTTAACTGGATTAAAGCAAATGGAACTTGATGGGGTTTTGGCCTTAAAAATTGCTTGTTTTTTATTTATTTAATCATGCCAAAATTGAACAAGGAAAACATTCTTCTACTGTACCTTAGCCCTAGTTGTCTTGACTCTGCAACGGCTCTGTTGATGATGACTCAAAGCCATGGTGAACTAATTAAGACAGTACTGTGTTGCTAACAAAAGAGCTGCTTTCTTCCTCCCTCCTCCCCCCAGCAGTTTGTCAAACAAAATTGTATCCTATACCAAAATAATAGAAATCTAATGTATCCTGGCACTCTGTCTCTAGTCAACCAACAGTATTTTGTAACGCTGTTTTAGTACGTGTATTAGAGGACTTGTGTTTTACACAGCCCATTAACACAAGGGAATCATTAATTTCTGGAGAATGTCTTTGCCAGAAAGATGTGGGCTTTAAATCTTCTACGTACGTAGAAAAGTACTGTCCATCTCAAATGTTCTAAATGGGTACGATCATTATTGAAAATAATAGGATAGTAATATTTTATGCTCTACATTTTAAATAACTGCATTTTACAGTTCACATTCTTTTAGAAAACTCATTGATACATTTGCATCTGCATAGACATGCTTAGATACAGTATCTTACCATTTTTTCATGTGGATCTGGATTATAAGGTGCTGCTGTTCCTCTTTGTAGTTTTCTGTGTTTCGCATGCATGTTAAGATAATTTTTGTCTTGTTTAAAGTATTTTTGTGCTAATGTAGTTGCTCTTTCCACCTTTGTTTTTTATATAAACGAAGGGCACATGTGTTACATCTGCTTTTTGAAAGTCGTCTTTAAAAACTTTTAGCAATAGTTAACTCAGCTGTTTGTTTCTGCTCTCTAAGGGGTCGCCTGGCCTGATATGCACCGTCTGGCTGACAGAGTCCATCTGGAGGAGTTGACTAAAATTGGCATTCTGAAAGGCAATGTAGATGACATGGTGAAGGTTCATCTGGGTGCAATATTTATGCCACACGGACTTGGACATCTACTTGGAATCGATGTGCATGACGTTGGAGGCTACCCAGAGGTTAGTGTTAGTCCATTCTCAACTGCCTTGCAGATTAACCCCTCTCAATTCGATCAGCATTTCTCTTAGTTTATGCATCATTAGCCAGTTGCAAGTTCTCGGGGGTGGAGCAGATGTGCATTTAAGTGTGTCTTTTTCTGGATGTGGTATTTTATGCAGTTTAAGGGAATCTACTAGTTCATTAAAACATAAATTGCTTATGGGGAGAAGTCAACTGATGCCGCCCTTCGGGCATTCTTAATCTGTTCAATTTCTGTATAAGTTGTGTTATTTCTCCATGAGTTACTGCTGTAACATATATCACTCAAGCATACCTTGTGCTGTGACAGAGAGCATCTCAGTCTACCTGAGACCTGCAGTGGGAAGATTCACTTGCTCCATTCCGGATGTGAGACAGCTGTGGGAGCCCACAGCTGCACCTGGGCTAGTAAATCCCAATGGCTGTGTCATATGGAAACAAGCTGGTTCATATTCCTGTCTTGAACTTCGATCTCCAGTGTCAACATGGGCAGCAATGTAGATGTGCTGTCCTGGAATGAGAATAGCAAGAAAAAATCCATCAGGTCTTCCGAATGGGAAAGCATAACCTCTTGTATTCTGAGTTTCTGCAGAAAACACAGATTGATTACTTTTTTCCTTGAATTATCATGATGGTTCATGACTGTGGTCTGAAAGCAGAATGGGTAAAATTCTGTAACCACTGAATGGTAAGATGTTTGCAATGATACTAAAAAAAAAAGCTCTAAGGGGAATTGAACTTAAGGTTTGAATAAAGAAAGGAAGTTTACAGCAGCTTCAGAAAGATTTCAGAAGGATTTTCCACGTGTTATGTTTTGGTTATTTGAGGCCAACTGTTTGAGGGTTTTCAATAATACAGTGTGAAAATGAATCATTTGCCTTCTCTCTTATGTAAGATGTTCTTTTACAAGAACCTGAAAAAGAAACTAAGAACTTTTTAGGTAAGCTTTAAGCATATTTTGGGGCTTGTTCATGTTGGATGGGCAGGCTACATAACAGCTGCTATTGTTGTGTTCACTTTTGCCGACAGGGAAGGAACAGTATCTAATATTTGAGGGTACTCATTCTGTTCACAATATAATTATTGCTGAGACACAATACTGTGATGACAATGTATTGGCATCAGCTAATAAACTTGTATGTCATAAAAATGAAACAAAAATCAAAAGCAACCCTATTCTGATTTTAAGGATTCTTCCCTAGCTAATACAGAAAGGATGGATGTTTCCTCCTCTGTCTTTCCCAAGTGCATTCTCTCTGTGTACAAATAGAGGCATTCAGCAAAGCACAAGGGATGTGATTACTTGGAGAGTTCATGGACTTCAAAATCTAGGACCCTGATGTTGCATGCCTTTGCTTAGATTGTTTTCACTTGTGTTGTGAATAACCTTTCTGAATTTGGTGCACTTATGTAAACTGGAGCACGTGTTCAAGATTTGGTAGGGTAAAGAGATAACTAAATTTTAGGAACAAATGAGAAGAATTGTGAGAGTGAAAAGTACCAGGGCTGGTACTTTTCAAGGCGGCTAACAGCATCCTGGCTTGTATCAGGAATAGTGTGGCCAGCAGGAGCAGGGAAGTGATCGTCCCCCTGTACTCAGCACTGATGAGACCACACCTTGAATCCTGTGTTCAGTTTTGGGCCCCTCAGTCCAAGAAGGACGTTGCGATGCTGGAGCATGTCCAAAGAAGGGCAACAAAGCTGGTGAAGGGTCTAGAGCACAAGTCCTATGAGGAGCGGCTGAAGGAATGGGGGTTGTATAGTCTGGAGAAGAGGAGGCTGAGGGGAGACCTTATCGCTCTCTACCTGAAAGGAGGTTGCAGTGAGGTGGGTGTTGGTCTCTTCTCCCAAGTAACAAGCGATAGGACAGGAGGAAACGGCCTCAGGTTGCGCCAGGGGAGGTTTAGATTGGATATTAGGAAAAATTTCTCCACTAGAAGGATTGTCAAGCATTGGAACAGGCTGCCCAGAGAAGTGGTTGAATCACCGTCCCTGGAGGTATTTAAAAGATGTGTAGCTGTGGTGCTCAGGGACATGGTTCAGTGGTGGACTTGACAGTGCTAGGTTAACGGATGGACTTGGTGATCTTAAAGGTCTTTTCCAACCTAAACAATTCTATGATTCTATTTTATTATTCTGAATATTAAAATTATTTGTTTGTGTAGACATGCAACTGCATTCTTACATTAAGAATGTTTGCATGGCTAATTTACTTTCAAAATCCAATGCTAATAACAAATTTCCTGAGTATGGGTGAAGTGTGTATGTAAGCTCACAAACAGCTAAAGTCCGGTATTTGCATATAAATGTGCGTGTAGATAGAGGCGGGGCATCAGCTTAATTTGAAAAATAAAGAATTTGGGGTTCTGCAGAACAGCAGCCCCTTTAAATTCTCTCTGCGGCTTTAATTCCTCCTCCGTTAGGCCCATCACTTCTCTCTGACCCAAAGCATGAGGTTCCGTATATTGGGTCATTTGACTAAGGTGAGGTACTTCAGCATCAGAGCACCTGATGGTGGAAAACCCACATCAAAGCCTGTCAATGGGGTGAACTTCATTAGACTTGAAGCTCTAATGGGAGGCACAGTCCCTGCCCATGGCGGGAGGGAGCCGTAGGGCTGCAGTGCTGGGGCAGCACTGGAAGGCTTCAGGGGACGTGGTTTTCCCCAGATAAATCTAATCGTGAGCAATTGGGCACTTCTCACCTGAGTGTGATATGTGTCTGTATTAAATGGGAGAAGGCTTTTTGCCTGTGTCTCATTGTTTCAAGAGAAAACGCATTTTGAAGACATCTAGTACGCTGTGGAGTGATTTTTGGTGTGTTTTAAATGTTTACCAGCTAGCGAGATTTCCACAAGGAATTTCATAAAGCCATTTGTGTGTTTATTGTACACTGAGCCCATGCCCGTAGTATCATGCTCTTTTTACTAGCTGGTTAAGCAGCAAGTTATTTGCTTTTGGCCAGGGGAATTTCTGGGAGTATTACAAAGGATTTTTTGAAAATAAAAACTTTCCAAGTGGATATTATTCCATTATTTTTCCTCAAGTGTAAACAGTTACATTTGGAATAATACAATAAGCTTTAATTTCCTAATTTTTATCCGTCACAAAGTTTTGTGTGTTCCAAAAAAACTATTTCCAGACATTGTTAGCTTAGATTAGTTATTCATTAGTAGCCAAAGATTTCTTTTTTCAAAATTGGCAATAATAAGTTTTCGTCTTTTCCAGTAAGGCTGTTTTCACATGTAGCGTTGAACAAGCACTTTCTTCCTCTTTGACAAACACTGTAAAAAGCTTGCACGTTTTCTGCAAAGGATACTCTGGGATATTAAAAAAATGTAACATTTCCCTTCCTTTTTTTGCCATGATAAAGAATAATTAGTTTTGGCCAGCAATAAATGTGGCTTAGCAACTATGTTTAGGGCAAGATTCTTAAAAGACCATAACCACCAGTATTTCCCATTGAAGCACGTAAGTAAATGTCCTGATTTTCAGAAGTACTCAGCAGTCAAGAGCTCCTTCGGGAATCAGGTCTCCTGCAGTGTACCGTGGTATTCCTTGCGGGGAAACCAAGCGTCAAACGCTTCTTTGAAAATCTGTCTGCTTCTTTTAAGGGTCTAACTATAACTTGAGCAGTTCTGAAAATCCAGCCCCAGCGGTACTAATCACTTCAGAAATCTGGCCCTTAGTCAGACAGAGCTAGCTTCAAAGAGTGAAAACTCCACTGGGCTTAGCTTCAGCTGTAAAATTTAATCATGGAGATGGTTTTCCCACACTCTTATTTCTGGGTAAATTCGATATGGGATATAAATGAGGGTTTGTGCCTGTTGCAATGGAGAAAATGTGGTAGGTGATCCCAAATTTTCAGACCCTGAGGTAGATGGGGCTGAAGTTTTCATTTAAATCTAGGTTCTGCGTCTCTAGATGCTTGAGTTGATTCAATTTCATGTTATATTAATTGACTCTAAGGCTCTAAAGAATGCTAAGTACATTTGATGACTTTCTATAATAATGAGCCAGTTAATTTAAGTTAGGTTAATAACTACTGTGATTTTAACATCTTGTGAATTAAGAGTTTCATTTTGTTTTGTCTTTTAAAATTATAAGATTTACCTTAGTATAAAGTTTTAATTCAATTCTCTATTCTCATGAAAAGCTGATCCTTTCATCGCTATCCTGCATTAGCAAATTAAGGTTAGAGGTTTGTTTTGATCCTGGAGTTATCCATGTCCTTCCATTACTGTGCATGCTTGGGGAACATCTCTGCTGCTCAGAGAGGTGTACAAAACTGCGTCTGGCTCTAACAGAAAGCTTGTGCCCAGATCCCAGATGACTGTCTGGGGATTTAGGTCACCAAACCTACTAAAGAATACAGGAATAATCTTGTTCCCTTTCTTGTTCTGGCAAAAATTATTTTCCTTATGTATCCTACTTTATGCTGAAGCAGAAGATTTCTTTTTTTTTTTTTTTTTTGTGGTTAGCATTGCAAATGATGCATTAGTGTTTTTTTCCTTTAAGAAGCAGAGGATGAGGTGAATTTACCAAGGAGCCTAAAGCTGTTATGTAGAGCCCCAGTGCAAATTGCTTCACTTGGTCATAACCTTGCAAAGCCTTGCTCTAGCTGTGCGTACCCAGGACCTGCAAACATGAAACAACCTGTATGGTAGGCACTTATATGAGCAAAGAGTAAAAGGGCCCTTTGCCAGTTTAAGCTCTAGGTTTTGTTCTTGTAAGCAACTGTACACCTCAGGAAAAGATAAGGAGAAAAAACCTGCTGCTTCTGCTTCATGGCGTCCCCTTGAATCACATTCTTTTTGATTCTTTGAATTCCTGCATAGCAGAGCCGTATGGTTGTGTGGGCCACTGAGCAGGCAGAGTGCAGGCAAGAAAGAAATTGGTGAAGACTTTGAATTTGACAGCATTTCCATGCAAAGTAGCACTGAAATCCATAGTGCTTACTGTTGTCTGTTGGGTCGAACACC